TGCTGAAGCTGTATGTGAATTCCTCATTAGAATCTTCAACCGAGAATGGTATCCAAAGGTGATTGTTTCTGATCATGGCCCATAGTTTGAATCCCGCATATTCCAGGAGTTCCTGAAGTCCAGAGGGATTTACCACCATCGGTCTCCGACATACCATCCACAAGCCAATGGTCAGGTTGAGCGCTTCAACCGTGTGCTTAAGCAGTACGTCCAAACTATCCTGCAGGAACAAACCAACGTTCGTACAGGCCTTGAGCTTCCGGGTGTCTACCGAAGTACACCACATGCAGCGACGAAGCTCTCCCCCGCTGAGCTCATCCACGGACGTAAAATGCGTACCCGTATGGACATCTTAGGCTTCCCAAGTTTTGACGAGCCCGTTCACATCGAGATGCAGCAACTCCGCCAATGCATTGCTGATTACCAGAAGCACAGCAAGCAATACACAGATGATAGGCAAAGAGCCAAACCATTTACAGCGGGTGTAGGAGATTATGTCTGAGATTATGACCGAAGGGAACACCATCATTTGACCCCTTTGAAAGAATTCATGAAGCTGTGGGGCCAAGCACCTTCTCTGCTTATTCTTCCATCTCTTTTACCTCTATCCCCCCACAGATTGGTTGATCCTTTCTTTTTACCTTCCCTCCACAATCTTTCATTTATTAATCATATTTCACACAAAGACCACCATCTCCTTCTCATTAAAATTTGCTGATGAAACCTTAAATTTTGTATGATTATTCAGAAAAAATTATGTATGAAATGGCAAAGCCTGAGTCACTCGAGCTGGAGTCCTATGCGAGGCTAGGGTAGCTTATGTGTCTGTGCAAGGGAATGATCGATTGAACTGGTGAGTATGGGATAGCTGGAGATGACTTCCTGAATGTAATTATTGTTTCAGAGGTTAGATGGTACTGAATTGTGGCGATTATTAATTATTAAAGGAACTCTCCAAGTGTAGGAACTATTAAACAGGCAAGAAATAAAAAGAAAGCATTATTCTAGTACATCGTTACTTATGCAACTTTACATTTTAACATTTGAAGTGTTCCTCCACCACAAAGTTTTATTATTATTACTGTTTTATTTTGATTTAATCATTCAAATCTATACCACCATGTGTTTTCTTTTACATACACATTGTATGCTGAGTACAGAGTTTTGGCTGAAGCTAAGACGTGTTTTGTACACCATTTATTTCTACTAACCTTATAATTGGGAGGAAACATGTGCTTCATCACAATAGCAACATTGCTGAAGTAGAGGTTTCAAGGAACAAATACAATTAACTTGGAAGTCTGCTTGCCAGTGGAAGGACATTTTTCTATGACATCTGTGCAGTAAAAAGCCCACAAGCGTGCTTCTAATTAAAAACGCACGCTATCCAGAATAGCGCGACCCGCAAAAGCGGTTCTTCCTACGAGAATGTGCCTTGTGGAACAGTTTGAAACTCAGAAAAGAGCTTGTACCCTGGAAGGAGGGTTTCCCCCTTCTATTTGCTGTACGGCGGGAAAGCGGCGGACCAAGTAACTCGCAAGTGCGCTTCCTTTTGCACGTATTTTCCTTGTGGGAAAGCGCAGAACCAGCAAATGTACTTGTCAGTTGCAGTAAGATGGGAAAGCAGTAGACCTAACGTTCCATAAGCGTGCTTCTCCGTTAAACACCGAGTTTTGCAGGAAAGCAAAAAACCCGCAAGTGCGCTTCACCTTACGAAGTTGTGTACTGCGGAAAAGCGACCTAGAAATACTTCTTCATTATCTACATTTATTGCAAGAAATCCATGCGCGAATCTCATCCTCCGAAGAGCACTTATGGCAATAGGCCACATTGATTGACTGAACATGACTTTACAACTAACCAAATTACAGATTTCTCACTGGCGAAATTAAAAAAAGAAAAAATCATTGATTAGATTTAAACTGTTTTCTCAAAATAATTTTTTGAGAGAAATATAATTTCTCTGAAAATAATAAATACACTAGAATATGCAAGATCAACCAGAGACATATACTTTAGTCTGTCTGCCTGATTCTATACCTCTCTCTGCTGGTATTTGAGTTTGTATGCTTGTTCACGCACGCAGTTCTTTGTTGACTCTACCCTTTCCCTTGTTTTGCTATACCTGAAGAACGAGCTGAAAAGTAGAGAGAGCGTTCAATCCTACAATTTACTTGTGCCTCGAAGAAGTCTTATATTTGCTCGTTATCCCCATATCAATATTACTTGATAATTATTTTACATTAAATGAAAATATAAATACACCTGAAAACAATAAAATAGTTGAGGTTCCAGGGGTAAAATTAATGTTTTTTTTTTTAATATATCAAAATGTTTGATTTGAAACATCGTTATTCAAATCATACTTGGGTAGTCATTTAATTACAGTAATTAAATTACTGTAATTTAATTACTTTTCTGGTAATTTGTAATTCATCACTTCCTGCTAAAGGGAGCTGCAATTGTACTTTATTTGCTTTTTAGCATCAGTAATTACAAACTTTGAGGCACAATTACAACTACTTTTGCAAGGATTTCCGGTGCCAACCGGAAATCCTTGCATTATCAACACTGATGATGACATCAGTGACGTCACTGATGACGTCACCGACATTAGCATTGTCATCATCACTGATGATGTCATCAGCAAAGTAATTTGTAATTGCAATGAGTTATTTCTCAGGTAGTACTAATTGTAACTGTAGTTAAACTACTTTTGGAGCAAAGTAATTAAATTACATTTTAAAAGTAATTTACCTGTATGATTAAAGTTGTGGTCTAAATCATGATTTCGATTTAAATCAACTTGATTTTTATCCTCCACCCTGTGTATATGTGTGTCAGTGCATGACCACTGCCAATCATTTCATTTGCAGCATGCGACATTGAGCCCTCAATTCTTTATACGAGGGCAATGGGGGATGGCCAAGGGATGAAGATGGGCTGAACAATTTTTTTCCAACATTTTGTTGATATACTATTAGATAACTTTGCATCCTGCAGGTGAAATTCGGTACGGTCTGCTTTTCTGGAATCGATCGGATGGACACTGAATCTATAAGTCGATTGAATCAGGATGTCCCATGCAGGAACCAAACTGTTTAATTTTTTTATAGCTAACTTACTAATATTGTAATATTGCTGCTTTTATGCTTCAAGTGTGTAGATAAGTGGGTAGCACAAATGCTCAGAAAGAGTGGCAATGTCATGTTCTTTATATAGTTGATTATAGTGGAGACAAGAGCTTCTGGAAAAGTATTTGCGACTCTGTGTAGGTGTCAATCAGGCAAAGGCAAACGCTGCCTTGTACCGCAGAGACACAAGGAATTATCTTACACCACTTTTCTTTGCAAATAATGATTTGGCAGCGCTACAGCGATAGTAGATAGTGCTGGCAAAAAAGGGCTGTCATTTGTGGCCCTCGAATTAGGAGGGTCAGCAACAGGTTTATAATAATAATCATCTTTATTTTGGTGTCATCAGTCTTTATCTTGGATGCCCCGTGGTGCACCAAAACAAACAATAAAACCAGCAAACAAAAAAAATCCTAAACACACTTATAAAGTTAACAAACAAATAAATGCAAGATTATCCAAATGGCGACGGTACATTGCAACAGGTGCAGATATATAAAGGCGAGGTGGAGCGATGGCATCATATGACTGAATCCGAGAGACGTGAGGTATTCACAATGAGCACACATAAAAGCATACGAAATGTCTGGTTACACATGAAGGAACATGAAACAGTTCTGCTCTAGTTTGCCTGTAGTTCTTTAGAAAGGCATCAGTGGACATCTTCACAGACTCCTTCTTTAAATAGGGTGGACATGCCTGCAAGAAGCAGTAACATCATTCCACATCGCATAGGCTGTAACTATTTGCTATTACCCATGTGCAATAGGTGTTCGTTGCCCGTAGTAATTACTCTGCATGTGATGTGCAGGAATTTGTGGCTCCCGTGTCGACCAAGGCAATGAGTTTGGGAGCCAAATATTAATGTCTTATTATTGTCACTCCCAATAAAAGGAATTTCCTTGCATCTTGTGGAAGTGGAACCTGGGCTCCGGATCATTTGTTTCCTGCAGTATGGCACCCAGGCCCAATCCCATGCCATTCAAGAAAGAAAATCGAGACGGCACGTGCAGTTGCCTGGTAGAAAAACAGCTTTTCTACCAGGCAACTAGAACCCAGTTATCTGGTAGCTGTGATGCTTGGCCGAACAATGCAAACAAAGAAATTGTTAGCTATCTGGGCCAGCAGCCTCTGAAAAGCATTCATTTAAGGATTAGCAGGAAAATAAGAATAAAGTGTTGGTTTCAAACTTTTGGACATAAAAGGAATAGAATACTAACTCCAGACGACTACTACTTATTTCAACCAGCAACAAAATTCATCACTGTCATTGCTGGTTGAAGGAAGCAGTCCACTGTAGTTTCTTTCCATTCTTTGTGTTGGAAAGTTTTTGTATAATCTACTGATATGGCCATACATCCTTCGACAGTAAAACAAATTTTTTTGAAAATGCTGTAAACAAATGCCTCCACATCGCACTTCCAGCTTGTCGGAGTAATGAACCACGTCTCTGCAAACTGTGGTGTTCTCAATACAATGCTAGTATCAAGCTTAATACTTTGCGACAATGCTCTCGTGTTAAGCTTTTCCTTGTTGCACCAGTACACGCGGAGCACTCATGCTCTCGCTGTAAGTTTTCCCACATCGCACCGGTGCATGTGAAAAGCACCAGCTCTTTTTTGGTAACCTTCTCCACGCTGCGGAGAAAAGCCAGTGCTCTCGCAGTTAGCTTTCGTACGTTGCTCTGGTGCACGCAGAGAAGCACCGGGCATTATTTGTGGAGTGATCAGAAAGGAAAAAAGGGGCCCATGTGCACTAGCTATTGTTGGGGCAGGATTGATATCAAATGCAGTGTGTTGATGTAACTACTAAGGTATAAGACAAATTGGCACCCCCCCAAATGTAAGTAAACAACATCAAACTCGATTTGCAATGCAGAACAGTTTATTCACATTATAACACAAAATTCCGATTCCCTCGAAGCACTTCAGACTCGGAAAGAATCATCGGACTGTGCAGCGCCTAGTTGTTGGTTTCTTCAGAGCCAATTTACACAAGTAGCAACTTGCTCAGTTTTCAAGGGGCCTTGTTTTTGGAGCCTTCTTGTTACCAGATGTGAGGCCCACAAACTTTTTGCTATAATTTCCCCAGCCTCTTAGAAAGACTATGTCGTCAGATTAACAAAACTTTGCTGGAAAAGTCGGAGAATTCTGAAGAGACAACATGGCACGGTCAATAGGGCACCCTTGATGGTCCAGCCATCCCTCGAGCGGGTCCCTGGCATTGCCTCCTTGTGGTCCTGCTGGATCTTGGCCCTGGCCATCTTCTCCAGGATGCTCCATACTTGCTGGCCCATGAACCCAGCGAGGACCTGCACACGGTACTTGACATTAGCACCAAAGCTGATTGTCAGCTGCAGTCACCTCACTCGTTCAAATTGTTAAAGATGTTGCCTTGAAGATTCCACAGAAAAGGTGCTGCGCCTTTAGCTTTACATACAAGGCACCTATGCCAAAATGTCTAACTGGGACCAGTTGGCATCTCAACTGGTTACAACTGGAACTAACTGGTCCCAAGTTGGAATTGGCTGTTATCAATAGGAGTGCAACTGGGACTAGCTGAGGGGTCAACTGGCTTGACTATGCCCAGATGGGGAACGGGTAGGGGTAACTGGGACCAGTTAAGGAGTTAACTGGTTGGAGGGATTCCCAGGGGAAGTTTCAATTGCTTTCCCATTCCCTGTTAGGGTTCACATGCCGTGTCCATTTCGACAAGATGGGGGTGTATTGATCTTTGCTAGTGAAGGAAAAAAAAACTTAAATATATAGATTTACAGAAATGGATAAACCTTGAATTACTAGGTATACATTTATGTATTTAAAAAAATATGTCAAATTTTAATGTACATATCCTTTTATAAATTGCAATATAATTAGTGGCATAAAAAATATTTACTTAAATCAACATTTATGTACATGTATAAAATGTATTAAACATTGAAGCAAAGACCTACTCCTTTTTTTTAAATATCAGACCCAGCAGGCCGTTGTGACACGCATGCGGATTAGTTTTGCGCGTTGTCGACAGATGGCACATGTGACGCAGTGAAAAATCACCAATCATGATTTTTAACGATGATGAAGTTGAGAGGCTGAAGGTACAGAATATTACAGTTGAGAAAGCTAGTAAATACAAGTACCTAGAAGTATGGATATGTGATGGTGCAGAATATCTCAGTGAGCATGAAAAGTATATAATAGGTAAGGGCAACAGAAATGCAGCTGTAATGAAAAATAGAGCACTTTGAAATTACAACAGGTATGAGGTGGCGAGAGAGATTTAGAAAGGGGTCATGGTGCCTGGCTTGACTTTTGGAAATGCAGTGCTATGCGTGAAATCCGAAGTGCATGCGAGACTAGAAATAAAACAGTGCAGAGTAGGTAGGCTGGCTTTGGGGACACATTGCAAAACACCAAACCAGGGAGCTAGTACAAGGAGACATGGGATGGGCGTCATTTGAGAGCAGGGAAGCGGTGAGCAAGATAGAATTTGAGGATTGGTTGAGGCAAATGGATGGGTGGCAATGGGCACAAAAGGTTTTCAGCTATTTATACATGAGGAGTATAGATGCAAACTGGAGACAGTGCACTAGGGAGTTAGGAGGACAGTTTTTAAGGCTATAGTGGACTTAGGAAGAGCAGGTGTCAGTTAAGGCCACAGAAAGAGATTGGTGGCTAGAGAGAATGCAGACAAGGACGGCTCTGGAAAACTATAAATTAAACAAAACAGTTATTGCCAAAGAAAGCATTTATGACCATTCTAGGGGAAGCTCATTGTTGTTTGAGGCGAGGACGGGTGTACTGCAAACCAGAACACACAGAGCGAAGTACCAGGAAATGGATACAGTGTGCACTGCTTGTGGAGAGGAGGACGAGACGGCTGAGCACTTGATACTTGATACGAAGAGAACATAGATTTAATAAAGTCATTGGGTTTTAGAAACAGCGAAGGAACAGTGGATTTCAAGACAGTAGAGATTACCAAGCAAATATTAAGTGAATGGTGGCAGAAGGCGAGAGAAAACTAGGTATTTTTTTATTAACTGATGGCAAGGGTGTTTTATAGCCTCACTTTCTTTGCAGTGCGGAGTGAATATAGCTTTCACCTTTAAACATTCTAAGCTTAAATGGTAAAACAGAATGGCTAGGTGGCGTAAGCTACCGCCCGATCCAAAGGGCTCAGCCGGATTCATCCATCCGTCCATCCAGTGGTCGGTAGAGAAGGGAAACCATCGCCAAAGTTGGTGTATTGATAAACGTGTCGCTATGAAAATGTCAAAACCATATCTGCGCTTCTTGCGACCCAACGGTGAACTTCGAGGGCAGAAAGATGCAGTTCAACGACCGGAGGGCACCCAGGGAGAAACCAGACGGAAGAGAAAACAGCCGCGGAGAGCACAATGGTAAAAATGGCGGAAAGTCTACCCGAACTGGCAGCTGTTGTGACACAAGCAATTGGAATTGTTTGATTGTAAGGTGGGAGCGCAACCGCATCCTATCAGGACTTCACCTGCGCAACGCGGAAACACGGGTGAGCACCTTTCTTCACGCGATGGAGAGAAGCTAGGGACGTCGTCACGGATGCTGACAGACGCCAGCGGCTAATCTTTCACCTCGCACGAATACTAGCTCTGAAAGGGCGATTCAATCGTCGCAATTAGCTAACGAGGCAACTGAAGCGGTCCTTAGAGCTACGCTGTGCTTCCTTCAATCCGAAAACGTGAACGTCACCGAACCTATTTATTTTCATTCTCGGTTTTTGACAATAAAGACTGTTCAACCTTCCAAGTTGTGCCGTGTTTCGTTGCTGGAGTTGGCACCGTTCTGTCAACCAGTTGAATCCAACCAGTAATTTAGCTCGCCACGTGCGCAGGTCAATTTTCAGTTCCCCTTTTTACGGTGAGCCTTGCAATCGTAGCCGCCCTATATTCGCGCTCTTTAGTGCAGCGACTTAACGCACGTGTGCATACCTTGTTGCCGATCCGGTTTGGGTGGACGCCGTCGCGGTGGATCCACTGGTGCCACTCGTCAGCTAGCCCGTCGAGGAACGTGAACCCTTCCCTGCGACACAACTCTCGCAGCAGCGAGTTCACCTCTCGGTAACGGTCATTCGAAGCCTCGATCTCTGCAGCGTGACTACGCTGCCATTCCAATGAGCAGAACCTATTCTCCCGTCTCGGAAGAACGGCAGAAAAGGCGATCTGCATCATTGGATTGCGTTCACAGATCTGGGCAGCTAGACGACGATATTTGTCGATGTACACGCTGGCACTAATATGGGAATTATTAGTGCCAACGTGTAGGATGACAACATCAAAATCGGGTAGCTTCTCAGACACCTGGGAAAACAAGTGCTCGATTCTAATACCACTAAACGGCGCAACCTCAACAGCCAACCGACTATTCAATGGCAAGTACTTCACCATCGAATCGCCGGCTACCAAAACTCGAGGCACGCTGGGGGTGCGATCAAAGCTAAAATACAAAGAGTAGCACTAGATACGGAAAAATATATTGCTAAAAAGAACAAGACAATGCTAAACAAAACGCTTCAAAGAGTGCGAAAAATCAGTCAAAATAGCTTGCGTGACCGGAGCCGACAGCAGCGCGGCCAAGACCCTACCACAGAAGACTACAGCCGCAGACGATGGTCGGCCACATGTCATAACAAAGGCAACATCCGGGGCCGGGGATGATACGTTACTTCCGGCGTCGAAGGAACGATTTCCACACGGCCGTCTTTCCTCCGACGCGACTACGTCACTTCCGGCGTCGGAGGAACGATTTGCACACAGGTCCCACTCCTCCGACGCCCGTCGGAGGAAGCACTTCCATTTTATTTCGGGGGAGGGGGGGGGGGGGGGGGGGGGGGGGGTTACCCGACATTATTACCCCGCCCCCCCCCCCCCCAATAACGAATCAGAGTTAACTCGGTGGTACGGACGCTCACGCAAAAGATTAAGGAGGTGCTGAAGATAACACGGGTAAAGCTACATTGGCATTTTTCAAAACGGAGCAGGCTTCATCAAAGGATTACGGGCGTGGTGGCTCACTGTTCTACCGTCGTCACAGTTGCGGTCCACCAACTTTAAAAGCTTCCTCAGAGCACACAACTCACTCCGCTTTTTGAGGTACCACTGCATTACCAACGCGTGCCGGCCAAACAAAACAAAAGGATAGCTATACTGTCATAAAAAATTAAACAACAACAACAAAACAAAAAAAAAAAAGAAAAAAAAGAAAAATTTGAGCAACTTTCGACGCTTCTGCCTGCAAAGATCTTGAAAAGCGGGGCAGGTCTCGGTGCTGAAGAGTTTTTGGAGCTCTATTCAGACCTAATTTCAGTCCCTGAACCCCAATGTGAGCTGCTGATATGGGTTGCCAAATGCAAGAGGGAGAAACGTGAAATGCCCGTCACGTGTGCGCTACAGGCGGTCGCCCTCTGACCGGAGACCCTATTCCGAAACGTCCATCGTCTCCTCAAGATCCTAGCGACTCTGCCCGCAACAACGGCGGAAGTTGAGAACTCGTTCTCTTCACTACGACGGTTGAAAACATACCTGAGAGCGTCCACTTGGAACACGGTAACTTGGAATGAGCGACTGTTCAGTCTAGCGCTTTTGAATGTTCACCGCGACATTAAAGTTCAAGCGGAGGACGTCCTGGATATTTTTTGCCCTAAATGCAGGCGGCTGCATCCGAATGTGTAGGCGCTTGACGTAAATGAGATGATCAGGAGAGCCTGTAAATTGCTTTGTGAAATAACTAGTCACAGTTTTTTTATTCGTGGTAATTTACGGCGTGCTAAAGAACGCTACTACTTCAAGGTGTTCAAGGCAGCAGAGGGGTGTACGGACGTCAGGTGGAAGGAGTTAAACTCTCGTTCAAATGGTAACCGTTCATCTATTTTAATTAATAAAACTGTGTGTAACGGTGTTGAACTAACCGGATGTTTTTTGGCGAACGATTTTGAACGAGCATTTTGTGTGGATATTGGAAGCGGGATTGACTGTAAAGTCGGTGTTTTTTATGATGATAGAAACAGCAGCTCGATTTTTTAGATCCGGTTGTAGAACTTGAGGTCATTAATGTGACTTTACATCTTAAGAATAGTGGAACTTGTGACGCAGATGGTTTACAAATAAGGCCTGTTGAGAATGTTGTTCATTTATTAGCCGCAGTGATAAAGCATATATTTCAGTGTGTCGAACCGAAAAAAATACGGGTTCGGTTACGGTTCAGGTTCAGGTAAATTTATTTTGTTCCGGTTCAGTTCCGGTTCGATTAATTCGATCCGCGAACCGGTTCGCGAACCGGTTCGGGGCGCTGAACCGGTTCGCGAACCGGTTCGGAAATTATAAATGACAAATTGCAACATCAAAATAAATTACAAATAGAACATCTGAAATCATCACATACGAAACGGGATACATCGTAGTGTAAGGCTCAGGGATTTCTACCAGGAATGGTTTCTTTATGTGCACTCAAAGGTTACCTCACCGACGTTTACGCATTCGGACTTCATCTAATTGGGTCCGACGCATTAGCTGTAAAATCCGCGACCTCCTTACAAACCCACTTACAAGTAGAACTCGCTCACTATCCCGCCACCTCGGCGCGTAAGCAATTGAAGGAACAGTGGGGAGAAAATACAGCTTTCTTTATTTGAACTAGCCTTCGGTAACTCAAATTAGACCCTTAAAGAAGATTTTATTAAACAAGATACGGAATATGAAAAACACTTCACCGAACGCAACGCCAGAAGAACGTAATAGGATAAATATTAAAATAGAAGAGTTCGCTGTCTCACAAATATGTTAGCTTCTAAGTGCCTACACGAAACCGGATGCATTATTATCAAACTCCACAGCCTTTTCTTTTCTCATTCCGATGGAAGCAAGCTTCAAGAACTCGCGCGTTCTAGAAACGTGTTATGAAATGAGCACACAGCAGCATTTAGGATTTACGAGATTGTAGGAAAATGAAATCCCGTGACGCGATTTTTTTTTTTTCACAGCCTTCCAATTTTCTTTTTTCCGTGCAAGCCGCGACCAGCGCAATACTGGTTCCTATGTCAAGATTCATGGATGCAGCGTTTGTCAAGATTCATGGATGCAGCGTTTATATTCCTAAGACTGAGTGGAGAAGAAAAATATGTAAGCGAGGTGTGTGTCAGTTGACGGCACTTAAAAAACAAATGGCATTGATAGCACATTCATTGTCAACAGCGCGTGGCCGAACCGTTTTGACATGAGGCGGTAACCGTTATTTTTTTTCCGGTTCAGTTCCGGTTCGGGTTCATCGCGACAACAATATAACGGTTCGGGTTCGGGTTCAGTTCCGGAAAAAATACCGGTTCGGTACCGGTTTTCGGTTCGGTTCGGTTCCGGTTCGACACCCTGATATATTTAATGTTTCTTTGGTTACTGGTGTTTTTCTGAATGCAAATAGCCAAAGTGTAAGTACTACACAAACATGGGGAGTGTAAATTACATGGGTAATTATAAACCGATTTCTATGTTGCCAGTATTTTTTAAAGCACTTGAAAAAGTACTTCATACACGTCTAACTAATTTTCAACTGAACGTAACTTAATAACTGCTTTGCAGTTTGGTTTTATAAAGCATAAATCACCGAGGCTGCCCTACTCGTCCAGAAAAAATTCATCTCACAAAATCTTGGAGGAAAAAAAAAAAAAGATGTTCTTGGAGCATTCATAGACTTCACAAAGGCTTTTGACTGCCTGAATCATAAAAATTTACTAGCAAAATTGTATACATATGGGATTCAAGAGCATGCTTCGCAGTTAGTGAAGTCTTACCTAGAGCATCGAATTATTCGTCAAGTTCGAAGCGTATTCTTACTGGTGTTCCACAGGGATGTATTTTAGGTCCTATTCTTTTCAATATTTACGTTAATGCTATTGCGAATATTAACTCTGATGCAATATTTATCAACTATGACGACGACACTAGTTTGCTTTTTTTCAGCTGGAAATGTCGATGTGCTATTTAACATGGAAAATCAGGCGATATTTGCATTAGCAATTTTGAGTCATATTGATTCACTACAAATCAACGTTGGAAAAACAAAAGCAGTCCTTTTTCGCCCAAAACATAAGCTAGTCACAATTACAAGAGATATTGTTTTGAACTCCTCCAAAATAGGAGATTGTAAACTCTTTCAAGCTCTTAAGTGTCATTTTTACCTAGAATATGTCATAGGATAGTCATGTCAACTACCTTATTTCTACGCTGTCACAAGTAGTAGCTGTGATAAACTGCCAGCGGTACATGTTATCAGCAAAGGTAAAATTATTAATATACAATTTGTTATTTTACTCCCACATAAACTATTGTAATTTAGTCTGGCGTACTGCAACGTCAACAAATCTATAAAAAAACTTGTTGCAAAAAAAAAAAAAAAGCGTTAAGGGCTACAGAAGATGTTCCATTGGACTTCCACACAGCTATAGTTTATTTAGGCAGTTTCGCGTTATCAATACAGATGCTGTATTTAGCTATAGACTTGTCACTTGTCTAAAACTAAAACAAATTAGGGGCGCAAACTTTTTAATAAAGTTTATCCAGCTCTCTGAAAATATTCACGCGTGTTCTACCCGTCGTGCGGAATATGTTGGGAGGTGGTCACTGCAAGAACGAACTATGGCACACAAATGATTAAATATACTATCCCAAAAATACATAACATACTTTTAGATAAAAGATTGGAATATCAGTACATTGTCTCTTAGAAAAATTCGACTAATTTTCTCTACAAATGAATCTGTGTATGAACCATAGTTTTGGGGTTTCATAAATTGCCTGCAAATATGTCACTTTCCTGCTATAGACGATGATAAAATATATTATGTTCGAAACACGCTTTGTTAAATTGTGGTAATCAAGATTTGTGTATGTGTTTTTTTTTTTGTCAACTTGTCAAGGACTTGTCAAACTGTGCCATACAGCTTTTTTTCTTGATCGCCACGATCAACGTACAATGGGAAGAAACTGTTTATTAATAATTTTAGTCGAAAGCACGTAATTCTGGTCAGCACTCAAAGTGTGCGTGAGCGCAGCGCCACCCGTTGCTTACAATGCAGTTGTTTTTTACAATTAATTTAATATTACTTACATCACTGACATTGTTTTCTATTATCACCATGTGTTCGTTTTATTATGTTCGCTTCGGGTTGATTGAGCTGTGTATTTGGTGAGGATAGTTGTTATACTTCGCCTTGAAATTGCTATCCTTCACCCCACAAGTGTTTCGAAATATCAGTTACCTTTATATCTGAGATCAAGTTTCGCATCTCATCAAATAAACATGAATGAAGGAATATTGCCCATTTTATTTATGTGAGCATTTTCTACCCCACAAGCACCTTTCCCGAAAGCATGTAAGTTGGAGAGTTGGAGATAGTCCGCCTTCCCCTTTGCTCCATGCCCCGCGCAAACCCGACTGCGTGTGCAGGGGGGCCAGCGGGTCCTCGAGAGGGAGGGGGGGGGGGGGGGTAGGTTTGGCACACAGTCTTTTAGAAAAGGCTCTGGTTTGGCATTTCGGGGGAAGGGGGGGGAGTGACCCCCCCCCCCCCCCCCCCCCCCCCCTCTGCACGCCACCTGCAATGTACTCTCGCTACAATAGGAGCTGAAACAGTCATCCATGCTTTTTTGGCGTACTTGCCAGTTTTTGAGAGAGCTGGGGTTCGACCTAGGAATATAATGCGAAGTTGAGCTCCCATACATCGAACTACTTAACAAGTTGAACAATAACTGAACTGGCGAGGACCAAAGACGCAGATAAAAAAACAAATGGAGTGTTTCAGCCAATATAGGTCTGTTGCACTGGGCCAGGGGGCGCGAGCGCGCCCACAAGACGCGTTCACGTAATGTCGGCTTCGGCGTCTGCAAGACACGACCATGAAGGCGTCGTTCTAGCGTTCGATCACGCACGAGCCAGGTTCAAATGCTAGCGCCTGTCAACGTATGTTCATGCGCGTAAAAAAAAAAAAAAAAGAAAACAAAAGTGAGCAGTTAGTGGTTTTAGCGTCCAATCGAAACGCCAAGAATGCATTCCTTTCAATTGGTTTATTTTTTTTTTGTAGTACTTTTGAGCATTGTGAGGGAGCGTAAAACCGCTCCATCGAAACGCGACCTGAAAGTATTCAATTTTGATCGCGAGGGGCGCTGCTCAAAACATGAAAGCTACTCGAAGCTAGCATGAAATTTGTTTTTCGTATTTTGGTGGTCGGTTGATTTTTTGCACATGTGTTCCAACCATTCCTCTTCAAAATAGAAAAAAAGAAGATGAAAGAATTTTATAATAATTGTAAGCGAAAATTGCAATGTTTACAAAAAACTGGGAAATGCATTTGGTGTCCCTTAAATTTGATTTACTACCCCCCCCCCCCCCCCCCCCCATTCATACAACATAGGTGATGCTAGCGTTTGCTACTAACCTCAATTGTTGGCGCATGTCTTCAGCCCCGAAAGTTATCAAGCATAGGAAACATCTAAAAACGAGTAGTGAGTATGAAGTCTGCTACTTTCGCGAACAGTAATATCAAGTTTACCCGGCCTCGTCTCCCATCGAAATCGTTAGTTGTTTCAAAACACTTGGGAGTGTTTTTTAGTGAGGCAATGAGCTGGGATAATCATAGAAACTATATTGTTCCAAAGCTTGCTCGGGTAGTTGGAATCGTAAATCGCTACCGATCTGTTTCACCAACGAGCGTTAAATTGTTGCTCTTTAAATCACTATTTTATTCCTATTTAACGTATTGTCTTCTTGTTTGGGGCACATCCACAATGACTAATATAAAAAAAACTGTTTTTGCTCCAGAAAAAAAAAATACTGAGAGGAATATGTAATGCACCATATGACTTTCATTCTGCCGATTTATTAAAGAGTAGTAAAATAATTAACATTTATAAATTATATCAGTACAGACTCGCTACAAGTTTTAAAAGTGAAAAGAAAAGAGGACTGCGTTTTCTGGAAAGACTTGCGTCGTTAAGGGAAATTTGCCCACACTATTCCACCCACAACGCATAGAAATGGAGGATGGTCGCTCAACGAACAAACTATGGCTATCAAATGTTAAATTTCACACTCCCACATTTACTAAATAGTCTTAGCACTGGTAATATTGACTTTGATAGTTTAACTTTCAAGGACCAGCGCTTATATTTTTGTACGTGATTTTTGTTTTCATTATATGTTTTGTACTTGGGTGAACCTTGGTTTGTAGAAATGTCAACCGTAGATGTGCAACGGTTTCACTATATACTTTGCCCTTTTTGTATTTTTTTCCGCCTGCTTGCTGCTGACCAATGTAAGGGGCCCGAGGACCAGTCAAGCTGCCTACTGCAGCCTTTTTCCTTTGGGCCCCCCATCATTTGATGGAAATAAAGTTATTATTATTATTATTATTATTACTACTATTATCCTTCCTTCGTCGTCATCATATGCTTGGGCCAAAATTTATAAGCGAAAATTATGCAGTTTAGAGAAAAAATTTTCGTCCTCTGTCAGGACATTAATTTTGTCTGGACATACTGGATGGCCTGGCCACCGTAGTCTGGCCATGAAAAAAAAAAAAGGGGGGGGGGGGGGACTGTCGCTTTGTTAGGCATGCCATTAATACTCCCCCCCAGACAATTGAAATTGTTTGGGGAGCATTGGCATGCTTGTATTCCTGGGGGGTTGTCTCAACTTTGAACATGGTGTTATGCGATGTTCAGATGTTTTACATGTGATCCGCGTTCCTGTACTGCGACGACTGAAAGAATGGACAAGCTCCTGCCGTGTAATAGCTATTGACTCTGGGCAGGTTTGCTTGTCCTCCGCGTCATCACGGCTCAGCCAAGAATTTTTCATTTAATTTCTAATTATCCACAAAACGTTTTCCTAACCTTGGCTTCGACTTCATTTTGCTCCGTTTTCGAGGCTAGCGTAAACATCGCAGTGCTCCATCACTGACAAAACTTGCGGAAGCGGGTGCGAATATGCGAGTTTGATTCAAGACGAAACCTAATATTTTACTAAAGGGAACAGTAGAACGTGCCTAGAGCGCCTAAAGTGTGCCTCCGCAATGCGGAAACAGTCTGCTACCAAGGCGAACGTCGCGCTGACGTCTGTGGAAATCGGTACATACTGCTTGACCGCAAGGACTAGACAGGCGCTGGACATAAAAGAAAAGGCAACTTTACCCGGTCAGGCCCAGCGATGGAGTGCCACCTCATCACGCGCCCTGCTGGGGCGCGCCGTCTCGCTCTTCCATATGCCTAGACTCGTGAATTTGATTGAATTTATTCGCCACCCTACCGAAAAATCCGGTGTAATTTTTCACTATCCGGATTATGGAACCGGAAATTTATCTGGATTCTATCTGGACTCTAACTGGATTTTAGGTTTCCATAAATTATTCCTTTGTCTGCAATCTGGATTTCGGGTTTCCAGAAACAAATTTCCGGTTCCATAATCCGGATAGTGAAAAGTTATACCGGATTTTTCGGTAGGGAAATCATTTTTTGCTCTTTTAAGTTTAGAAAACAAAACACGCTCACCAGGAAGGAGTGTACTTTCTTTAAGTAGGCTTTTTCGTATGCGTAATATATTCCCATTAGTAAAGTTTCCTATAGAAAATCCCCTAAGCAAGGGGGAAAAAAAGGTCACTTATTTGTTTTGGAAATATAAAAAAATCAGATTTTTTTTTTATTTAAATCAGATTAATTTTATTTAAATCACAGTAGTTAGGAACTAGTGATCTTTTATCCCTCCTTGTAGATTTAAACACGTAAGTACGATTATCAATCCGTCCGATCGCTCATAACAAAGCGGAAGAAAGGATTACTGTAAATTTGAAGTACAGTTTAGCAACTGTTTTATTCATGTAACCCCACCATACTTGAACAAAATCAGCGTGACTTTATCAGTTAACTAAAGAAATTTATTTGCTTTTCTTTGTCGTCCCGATTTGCTTGCAATCGCACGTAACCGGCGAACGATGTAGAAGGTACAAATGAATGAATAGATCTTTGTTTAGCGAGCATCAGGTGCACATGTGAGGGCACCCGCCCGGTGGAGGGCATCATTAGTCCGTGATACTCTGGCTGCGGCTGGCTATCCAGATCCTCGTCACCTGCAGGTCTTGCTGGATTCCAGGGTCCGGGCTGGTCAGGCAGGCCATCCACAGCTCGTAGGATGGGGTGGGTTCGCGAGTGAGGTCCCGTGTTTGTTGCCATTCTCATACTTGATGGTAAAGGTTGCTGAAAGGTTGTGGAATGCAAAAAGAAAGCTCAATGCTCCGATTTGGTCGTGTTCAGCCTGATAAAAATCTTTGTTGCTCGAATATCTTTCTTTTTTTATTTCAAAACAAAACAAATGCACGTAGAAAATATCAAATGATAGACGAACGGTATATATATAAAAAGATACTATCGGGAACATTTGATTTCTATCCTCATAACAACCCCATAGAATAGGTCTGATTTAAATCCCGATTTAAATCCCGATTTAAAGCAGGCGTCCCGAAACCCCGGCCCGCAGGCCAGATCTGGCTCCCCTAGGCCTTCTGGCCGGCCCGCAGGTGGCCGCGGTCTTTGAAGTTACACCTGGCCCGCGGCCCACTGCTGCACACGCAAAAATAAACGCACGTAACAAAAAAAAAAAAAAAAAAATGCCGCACAAGAAACGGCGCATTAAAAGCGAGCAAATGAAGATATCGGAAAGAACGAGCGAAAACTGCGTTGAAAAGCGAATTCTCTCTCGCCATAATACGTACTGTTCATCATGCACCCGCGTTACTATTTATAGTCCCCTGTTTCATGTCTGTTTGAATGTGCCAAAATTGCTTTGAATTCTCCTGTATTTTGTGCTTACCTGTGTCATAAGTTTTGCGAATCGTCGTAAACTGTTCTCATTAGTGTTCTGCACCGTGTGAATACGCCAAGGTTCCTACGCACTTTGATTTATGCCTGGTGAGTTTTCTGGGCCACAGTTATTAATGCGAAAGCATTAACTGTCCCATCGAGCGCGCTGACGTCATCCGTTGAAGCTCGAAAACGGAAGATAGTTTCCACGATTTCGCCTTCGGTTCCATTGGCTCGCGGGCGTCGACGGGGCTCCCATTGGCCGCTGCGCTCGTCACTTTCCACGACCGCTCACCCCATGGCGCTGCGTGTCCATCGGCGCGCGCGTCCAAGGTCACCAGGGGAGCACGCGCGCTGTCGACTGGCGACGAAAAGTGCACAGCAGACGAAAAAGAGAGCGAACGAGCGACTTGCGTGTTTTCGCATTCACAACTCATAAGAAGTGCTTAGGTGTACCTCGAGCTTTTTTTGTAATGCCGTAATTACTCACATATTGAATATTAAAATAAAGTATATGTGTTCAGCCACCTTACATTATTTTTTAAATATTTTTACTCTAATGTACACCAACACAGTGTTTAGAAACAAGCCCGCCTTGCCCACACCAAGTGAATTCTGCGCGTGCGCAGATGCTTCACTGGAGTGAAGCATCTGCGCATGCCCAGTAGCGACAGCAGCGCCACCGCAGTGGCGTGACGTCAGTGAGTTGAGTTAGTTCATAGGTTTTTGGTATTTAGATGCATATATTCGTGTTTATATATTTAGTATTTCCTCATTTATACTTATTTGTTTATTTTCCGGCCCTCGGGACTGCGACAGAACCCCAGTCCAACCCCGTAGCCGAGACATTTGTTGTAACGTCTGATTTAAATCAACTTGATTTTTAATCTATACTCTGCCCATTTCCCAGAGAAGCGGGGTCACCTGAGATGTTTTCCTCATAGTAAAGTATTTGACCAAACTACGTGCTGTCGCCGCAGTGCGGGACTGCAGTCTTGACAACTTAGAACAAAATGGTTGACTCCGAACGGGCGCGCGCGAACGACAACGGGTAGTGTAGAAACATTTTGACTGCTGATAGAAGGGCATATCCCCCCCCCCCCCCCCTTTTATTTTTGTCTTGATGAGTCGTGTGGCGCACGCACATACAAAAAACTTTTTTTTGTAGCGTGTATTTTCACCCAATAATTATGTTCAGAGTTCCGTCTTTCCTTTTGCATGCAACATAAAAAAAGAAAAAAAAAAAAGAAAACGAA